TGAGCTCTTGGGAAAACTCTACCTTATGCCACAAGCTGGGGTTACCTGTTGAGCTTCTGAGTAGCATCCAGCGACGATTTTTCTAATGATTTACAAAGCATTCTTACTACATGGTAATTGCTTTAGCGTGATTTTCAGACAAAAGATTTTACCACATATCATCATCTCTGCTACTCTTCAGCATCCTATGCCCCGGTCACTGCAGCAGTACCGCAGTACTGACTCCAAAAAATGGAACTGCCAGGTACCCTTTCATTTCAAAGAAGAGTAGACACTTATTTCTCCCTGATTTTTTCCTTTTTCAAATACTATATAGTAAAATTAAGTTTATGACAACTCGAAAATCTGCATTAGTTCTCAAGGAACTGGGAGAACCCCACAGACTAATGCTTCAGCTACAAAACCAACAGCTGCATTTCTCTGAAAAAGGTCTGACATAGCAATAGAAATTTAGGTAAGGACTACCATTACCTAAAGAAAACTGAAAAAGCTGTTCAAAACCTCTCTGTTTAGCAGCAACAAGAGTTGAGAGACAGGGCAGCCTAAACGCATCAGGAGGTTGCTTTTATTCAGCCTATAAACGTTGTGTTGTTCTATTTAATGCCAGTGCATATGTTTCAATTAAAAAAGAATCTTTTCTTTACATTTATACTGTCTCAATCATCTTCTCTTTTGTTGTCATTCCCTGAATCTCACACACTGAATATACCTTTTCTGAGGGCAAAATCTGTACTGCAGGTTGCATATTTTTTAATCAGACTGTTACCATTTACAAGTATTTTCAAGAAATGTTGAGGATTTTCCCTGCCTGAGTTCCAAGCCTGTAAATTTGTTCACATTTTCATAAACTAAATCACAGATCTTTCAAAGTATAACAGCATCTAAAGGCAATGCCCTACAATTGTAGGGAGTCAGAGATTTTTTTTGGAAAGAAAGCAACACTGAATATAAATTTCAGATTAAGCTCTTATTGCCACAGTTGAGTTCTGAAGTTCATGGCAACCATGCATTTGATTTTAAAAGAGCAGATAGTCAACACTCTAACTTCTAATTGTTCTGAAGTATCTCCTAGCAGAAAGAAAACAGCAATATATCATTTACTACAATGTTCAGACTTGGGAATATAAATTCTCAGTGGTTTACATGGAAAAACAATATGCAATTTGAAAACTAGCAGAAGTTCACACTAAAAAGCAGGAAAAATAAAAATCTACAAATTGCTTCTTTGTCCTCACAGATATTACTTTAAAAACTTTATACCTGGCTTTACATCTTGACTGATAGCAAAATAGTATAAATTAACTCAAAGATTAATATTTCATTCTCAAATACAAAGAACAAGATTTTCAAAGATTTATATTATGTTTGTCTCAAAAAAAAGGAGGAAAGACAAATTGTGAAGAAAATCATATACAGAAATAAGAATATATTCATTACTTAAATGAAGGTGCAAATCTGAATAGCAGATGAGACTTTCCCAAATACACTGATTATATTAATAGCTGTTCGAATACCAACTGTACTATGAATGAGGTTCCATAAAATCAAATCTAACTGAAGCAACATCTGGCATACTAAAGGTGTTGCAAAAGAGATATCTGTAATTTGCAAAATTGGTTCCTTTAAAAGTGTGAAATACCCATTGCTCATCATATTTTTAAGATTAGCATCTCAGAACTTTAGGAACACCAGATTTCATTAAATCCCCTTGTTGCATCTAAAGACTATTGCTTACAGCGAAAAATACTGGTGTATTTTCTATTATCTCGAATACAGCAGTAAGTCTGGAAGTAAAGGCACAAACAATTGCATATGTCTGCCAGCTCCCTGCAAACTTCGCACAAAATTATAAGAATCAGTTACTTTTGGAGTAACATTCAGGCTGAGTTACTACCTTGTCTGATTTCACCTCAGATTTCGAGAGGACTGTTCACCAACATCCACCTCTACCTGCAACACACACTAATAACAAGATGTTTATAGTCCTACTCTGATCGGCACTTACATTAACCAGAACTAGTACTTCAAATGTATTTGGGAGAATTTTGCAGTGACATATAATGACCTTTTCCTCTACAAAGCACGCAAATGCTTTAGTGTTGTTATTGATCAAGTTGTAAAGAGACCTACAGGCTGTATTTCTTTAGTAAAACATTAAGTTACTACACAAACCATTACAAAGAGTGAGAAGTACTTATCATACTTTATCATGTTTTCACACGATTTTCATGTGACAACTTATTCATGCATAGCTGGAAAATCCAAATCTAAATTGGGTACTGGTACCACTATGTCTTACATGCTGGAAACATGATTTGTTACAGTAAATCCTAGTAAAATTGTAATCACTGTTTCAGTCTTAGATCTAAAATAAAATCCACATAGATAGGCCACTATGACAAGAGACATCTCTGTGAGAATTACAGCTTCAGAGATTATTTTTATCTCGCTATTTTATCAGTGTAATGCAACAAATTATCCTCTGAGGATAAATTGATTGAACAATATTAATCTCTCAAAAGAAAATGAACAGCCAAAACACATTAAGAGTTATCTGCTACAGGTAATAGTTTATGTATTATTTTATAATACAGCTCTTTAATAGTATACTTTTTTGCTGTTTAAGAAGGAATTCTTAACTTTAATTTTTATAACCAGTGGCATGTTGGTTACTAAAATTAGTGTACAGAACCATTTCCACAAAATATGACATTTGAGCTTTATATAAAACAATTTAAAACCAACAGGGAATTCTTGACATTTCATTTTGCTCTTTCATCTAGAAGCAATTTAAAGAATAAGTTATAGGTGTGTGTATATATAATATATAAAAATATACACATAAAAGTAACCATGTTCAAGACTGTGCAGAACTGCAACAGAAGACTGTGCACTCAGATTTGCAATTATTAAATATGGAGAAATGCTATCCACCTTGTGCTCTCTGTCCTGAAATTCCACTCCTTTCTCAGAATCATACAGCCTCATGGTCCCAGCTGAGCAAGGGGATATATAAAATTTAACCACCTTCTTATGAAGTTTCTTTTAGTTTCAAGTTTCACTAAAAATTAAATTTTCTTGTAAAATTATATATTTTTACTTCTCATAACTTGAGAATAGCCTAAATTTTTCTACATATAGAAATCGATAATTATCACAACTGTATGAAGATTCCTATACAATTCATCCCACAATGAGACACTAGTACAATGAAGAGAAATCTTGACACCTTTGAACTTTTTAAATACAATAAAATATATGACCTCCATACTGCTCTGTACTATTCATTACATAAAAGGGAATATGTATATTATGGGAAAGCTTTTTCTTAAATCTTTCTTAAGATACAAGAGCAATATATTCACAACAGCATTTATGAAATTGGAGACTATCCCCATTGAAAGACCATTGGGCTGTACTTATAAGACTTCATGGAATATTTCATAACTAGAAAAAATATTCACTTATTGTAACATGCAAAAGACTGAAGTGGAGTTTAGGAGCCTTCTGAAATAACACAGTAAAGACAAAGAGGACTTGCTGAAGACTTCAGTGTCATGGAACATGTAAAAGTAATAGCATAGTCTTTATTCCAAAGAGGTGTCTGCAAGACAGTCGAAGATGTTTTCCTCAGAAGAAAAGTAGCTAGGCAGTGATTTAGAAAAAAACTTCTGTAATACCTATTATTTTATATGTTTATGCAATTATAAAAATACTAAAAAGCTACGACACCCTCACAGGTCAGGCCCTACATTCTTGTTCAATTTCATTTTCAAGGACACTCAGGACATGTTATTTGGCTGTAATAATACTTGAAAGCCGATTTTTTCTAAACAATCAAGCAAATATCTGTCTTAATTAAAACCAAGCACAGCAAAAACTGAAAAGTAATCTTGTTATGAGTAGAAAGAAAACATTGCATTGTTCTTCAGTAAATACAAAGTGAACAGGAGGATCAATACAGGCATAGCAGATGTGTTAAAACAGACAGTTCATTTTTAACAATCTGAGATTTATTGGTGAAATATTATCAGTTAAAATAAATGTTTATGTACAATATAATTGGAATTCCTACCATCTAAAATTAGTTTTATGTATTTTTCTGGGTTTAGGCATGCATTTTCATCCAACTTGTGATTATTTGTAACTTTACAATAATATATTCCAGGTTTAAATACCTTCAGCCTCTCCTGTGTTGCCATGCTGAAAAAATAGGACAAGAGGGGAATTCCATAGGATCTCAGCAAATCATTTAGCATATGCAAAGATCAATTAAGCTCTTAGTCATACACCTTAGTCTCCAGTGCCAGATCACAGATATTATTCAAATATAAGAACAGTAATCAAAATTCACATCTGTTTCTTCCTATGCAGTTGCTACTGTAATAATATGGCATTGGAATAAAGCAGGAGCTTCCTGGTTTAAGCATTTCTACTATACTTACTCATCTCACTAATGCCCAGACAATGTGTATTACGTCTCAAAGCAAGTCTTTTTCGTTCAAAGACCTTAGCTCTCATGTTTCAGAGGAATACTTTTTTCCCTGAACCCAGGTTCTTCAGAAACAGGGTAGCTTCTTCCCAGCTTTGTTTATAGAAAAGGTCAAACTGTAAGAAAACCACAGCTCTCTATGCATGTGAATACATAAGGACAACAGGCGGCTAGGGAACTGCAGCGAGTAGCCAGGTAGTTTTTCAACAAGTTTATCAACCTTTATAAAGAAGAGATAAAACAATCCAAACTCTGTTGTGTATGTCTAACACTCCCCAGAATATTGATATCAAAGTGTATGTACAATAAAAGAATACCTAATTTTCACAAAACGTCTGTATAAATAGATCACCTTGACACACTCCGCACAGTGATTTCTACAAGTAAATTAAATGTTTGCTTTAAATGTGCAGCTGTCAGAACTTTGTGTTTATCTTGATATTTCTATTACAAACCTTCCTATGCAAAAGAAAGTTCCCGGTAAGAACAGTTATACAGAGCACCCTGGATGCAGATCAATAAAAGTATTCAAATTCTGATGTACGTATCTGAAAGCCATTCTGTATTTTCAAATAGGGATTGATAAACTGCATAGTTCTCATTCCAGCCGTCCTTGCTTAGCATCACCTATTGCTCCCCATACATCAAAGACAAACTCATCTGGAAATGCAAAGTCTCCAAGAGTTTCATCCAATGCCACTGCAAATTCATCTGGGTTTTTCTTGTCTTTTCCAGCTTCCACCATTGTTGCAGCTAAAAAGCAACAAAACAAAATAATGTAATTATCGTGAAAGTGACAGCTAACATATATGACCAAGATAGTTTGTGAATGTCTATTTTCAAAACCAGGTAAGGTCAGCTTAGGGAGATGTAAAGTTTGCCTACTGAATTTAAGATTCAATAGGAATCACGTACTTAACTCCCCCCACAATAGCTAAATTCTGCTCTGAGGAACAGGAAAGTTTCCTTGGGTGCTCATTATATATTCTTCTGTTAGTTTGGCAGAGGTTTAATTTTTAATTAAACAAACCTTCATTTTATTCTTACTAAATTATATTCTGCATTCATTACTGAAGCATGGGTCTAAAAAGAAGGTTAAGCACAACTCTTCTGTGATAACAAGGCCCATGTCAGTTCATCACCAATTCAGTGAGTTTGGTGTGAGCTTGCTGATCTAAACCAGAAAATCAGAAGGCAAACCTGAATGTTTTTCTCCTCTAAACAATGAAGAAAAGATCTCAGCAAGTCAGAGTTTAAAGTGGCCAGGTTTTTCACAGAAAGCCAAAAAACATAGAGTTTGAACACAGAAAAAACCATACAGCCTGCATAACAGATAAATGCAACCAAGTTTGTATGGGTTTGCTAGCAACAATCCATGGTTTATGAGTTTAAATATTGAGCATGACTTGCATTCAGAAAGGAGTAATGAAAAATGAGCCTAGAGAAAACACCTGAACACCCTACTGTCATGGTTTAAACCCAGCTGACTACTACATACCACACAGCTTCCCTCCCCCCTTCTCCAGTGAAGCAGAAGAATCAGAGGAAAAGACAAGGAAGCATGTGGATTGAGATAAGAACAATTTACTAATTGTATATAAATTAATAAAATAGTTACACTCGTAATATTAACAATACTAATAGTATTAAAAATACTACTAATAATACATAATGAAAATAATGGAAAATAAAACAAATCATACAACTGCTCACCACTGGCTGACCAACACACAGCCAGCTCCCAAGTAGCATGAGTCAGAGCCAGAGAGCCAGAACCTGAGAGCAATCGCAGCACAGTCCGAGTGAGATCAAGAGAGAGAGACTGAGAAAGTCAACTGACCCACCAACTACCGAATAAGTGACCAAATGAATGAACTATGGTCCACTGGATCACCCCCAGCTTATTTACATATATTGAGCATGACATTCAATGGAGTGAAATACTCCTTTATTTGGTTTGGGTTAGCTGTCTAAACTGTGCCCCTTCCCACCCCCAACTGCTTGTGACAAGCAAGTTGGGAACACAAGTGCAGTATCAGAAGCTGAAAAAGTCCTTGAATTGGTGCAAACGCTCCTTAGCACCAACTGAAAAACCACCAGTGTTATCAGTACTCTTCTCAGGGCAAATCCAAACTGTAGCCTCATATGAGCTACTGTGAAGAAAATAACTCTGTCCTGCCTAAACCAGCACACCTACTTTAGGAAACAAGAATTCAAATACTAGGCCTAACTTAGGTGTTGTGTAAGATAGAAAGAAAATTATTATTAGGTACTGGACACAGTATGTTTGCAACTGCCTGGAAAGAAATTGTGCTCTCAAGAAACTACTGTACGATCTGAAACAGATTTGCTTAATTTCATTTAATTTTAATTAACTTTAGCTTAATTTTTTAGCCCCAAAAAACATCTCCAGTTAGTAAAGAGAGTGATGCATTTATTGTGAGGCACATTATTCTTCTGTTAGTGCTTCAGTTATTATCACCTCCAGCTCTGAAAAGCAAATCTGTAATTTTCAGCACCCTCAAGGCTGGGAAAGTTTCTGCTTATGCCACTAGAAAGTGAAAGAGATCAAAGTTATTTCTGGAAGTCTCAGCCTGGTGATTCAAATTGTGCAAAGGATGGGAAAGGCCTTGGTGCTCTGCACAACAAACCAGAGCCACCAAAGGCTAGGAACATCTTGGTAGCCAGGGAAGTTAAAGCAGAGAGGTCTGACACAACAGAGGTAGACTGTAGTATCTTGTATTCCCCTGCTGTCCAGCATTTTCTCTTATTTAACACCGAAGTATCAGAATTTATCAAGTTCCAGACTTTAGTCTGGAAATGGCTATGCTGGGGTCGCTGCTTAGGACATAGTTCTTAGCTGCTGGGCTCATCCCTCACCTTCAGCCACCGCACAGTTCCTCAGTTTCTAGGATAAATTACAAATCTATCCCAAGCAGCACTGGATGCTGTCAACCCAGGGACATTAGAGCAAATAAAAGCTGTCAGGGCTGAAAACCCTCTTGGTCATGATACCTGCACCTCCCTGAAGGACAGTTCAAGACTGATCGAGACAGTTCAACTGTACCCAGCTTCTCAGGTACCTCTAGTGGTTCTCAAGGACTCTCAAGACCTGTTTCCCTGCCACAAGAAACCCTATACCTGCTGCACTGATTCTTTCTGTGTCCTCTCTGAGGTTCCTAGGATACTGACTCAGAGAAATCTGGATGGGAAACAGGCATTAAACAGGTGACTCTTGTTCCTTACAAGTGAAGACAAATATTTTCCTATCAGCACCACCTTAAACCCCCTGACACCGCAGCATAAGAAGGTGCTTGCTGAGGAGCAATCCTGGAGTTAATGAGGTGATGGGTGCGATTTAAACTTCACAGATTTCTGGATGTGGCTCAGGGTATGAAGTTACTCTGTATAGACACTGGGAGAGGGATGCAGGGAGAAGAGCTGTGCAAGGTGACACTAGAGCAAACATGTCTAGATTTAGTTACTCCAGATATTTTTTAAAAGCTGCCATCAACAGAGGATCTAGACAAGTGTTCCAGCAGAAAGAATGGGAACAAGAAATTTAGCCAGTTTTAAGAAACTGGTCAAGATATAAGAAATAGCCATATGACACAGACAGCGGCGATAAAACAAGATAACCCAGCATTATATTACAGTCCAACTGCCCTAGCTGAAACCTCAGAGTTACACAGTAATAAACTGTCATTAACAGAAAATGTTACTTCAAACACAGTTTTCTTTACAGATTGATTAAATGATTAAATAGAATCTTAAGAAGAGTTTATTAGAGATTTACCAAACTTGAAAACAAAACCCACTAAACTCAGACAATCAAGACGACTGTCAACGCAGACACACAGTAGTCAGAACGTCACCACCGTAGGAAAGCAGCAGCCTCAAGTAAAAGTGTTTTCAACCGTATTGAGCAAGTGTAATCAGCACTACCAGGGTAAATTTAATGCACTACATTTATCACAGCATGTTCCCCTTCCCAGATTCACCTCATGTAAGGAAACAGGCTTCTGTGGAAAGGGCTGCACTGCCGGGCGTCCGGTTCCGACAGCTTGTGCTGACCTCCAGCGACAGCGCGCTAATGGTAGCGCACCGACCTGGTTCCACACACAAGCTGTACGCCTGATGTATACAGATGTGCAAAGCTGAACCCTGCTTCACCTGTCTGGCACATACAGGAACACCACAGCTGTCCGGCCCCCTCCATCACCCGCTGCAGACACCCCCATTTCCCCGGCGGCTGACTGCGCGGCACAGCCGTGCGCAACAGCATGCACAACGGGCCTGATCGCACACGGACGTTTGCAAGGCGGAATTCCCAAGGCAAATCAAACCTACTGATTGCCAAGGCACTTAGCAGATACTTGCCAGCTTGAAGAAAACTTCACTGGCCCTCAGAGGGTGACAGCTCCGTGCCAAATTGCCTCCATTCCCCTCCCTTTCCCCCTCTCTGCTTCTTGTAACAGCCGCACAATAAGTAATTATAGGAATTTTATTCCAATTGACTATTTTTCCATGCTCCAGATAGCCCCTATTGTTTTCAGATTCTTGTTTGTTTGTTTGTTTTTTAAATCTCACTTCAGACAATGCTCATACCTGAGAATTTTTTTTTTTTTTTTTTACATAAAGTGTGAGAAGTTCAGTAAACTTAAAAGTGGTGAAAGGAATTAGAAGTCTTCTCAGCTCCAACTGAGAAGCTCAAAATCAGGCTTCTCAGAATATGAACAAAGAATTATGCTGGCCTTTTAAACCTAGTCCCTTTCAAAATGACTTCAAAGATCTTTCCAAAAAATCCTTGTTGTCACTTTTGATAGGCACCTGCGGTACAAACCATGAAAGGTACAATCTGCCTGCCACTCCTCTCATCCACCTCACACAGTGGTTTTGCTACCTATGCCCTATCTGTGACTTCTAAAAAAACTTTATCAGAAGTCTTAACAGGGACTTCAATATTTAGCTGCAACGCTAAATATGAGAAGATTTGCCTTTATAAAAAAGTAACAAATATTATTATTCTGGCCTGATACTTTAAAAGAGCTAAATTTCACAATCAGCTTCCTTAAGACAGAACAGAAAATTAAGCATGTCATCACAGTTTCCGGTATTTTACATTATTTGGTATTAGTTTCATGTTGAACATTGTCAGATCTGGCATGCAAGGAACCACTAGAAATACCTTTTCTTCTTGTTTCTTTTTATTAAGTATTCATTCTTCTTGAAGTAGACTAGTTTTCTTGTTTAACCAGACTTGTTACCTTTCCCTTTTTCACAAAACTCCCATTATTCTCTCAGAGTAAATGAACAGTCATGAACAATATACCCCAGAGTGTATACAATAAAATCCTTTGGGAAAGAAAGTCTGGAGATAGGAGGAGTAGAAAACAACAGATTCAGGGAGAATATCACTTTAGCAAAAGCATTTGAACATAAAAATATCTATCCAATATTGCTGGAGTGGATTAGTGATCCAGGAGAAGACATTGGGATGACAGAAAGTTTAAATCTGTTAGGACATTTTTGACTAGACACTAAGTTTCAAAAATAAGTCAAGAGTGGAGAAAGAGATTCGACCTTCTAAACAGAAATGGAGAATATGCAAAGATATGTAATGTCTGACAATATTATAGGGAACAATAAAAAAAGAGAATTATCCAACAGCACAAAAATAGAACAAAATATCAGTGGATGAAGAGCTAGCCAAAAGATGTTGAAAGAAAAAATTTAGTTGGGAAGCCCTTTTTGCCATCATTTTTCCATCAGTAGAAGTCTGAGGTTGGATCCAGGCTTCCTCCCACTCAGAATCTTTGGGATCAACTACAGTCCATAACAATTCAAGCCTCACTGATTTAAAAAATAAATGCCACCAGTAGTTTTCACTAACGCTGCTTCCTGAGTCCCTCTTATTTATCAACTCTTCACATTCCTTTACCAGAAAGCACTGACAGGATTTAAAACAATCTGAATTATCTCTCAATGGTGTATTTATGTTTTAAAGAAGGCTGAAGTCAAGCCTTGGCTCAATTTTTAATGTACCCATTAGATAGCTGAGGAATACATTTACAGAGCCAGGTGTCCCTTCTTCAGATTAAGCCCGGTTTTCAGTAAAATAAAGAGGTAAAAAGGAAACAGTGCATTCAAAAGGCAGGTATGTAAATCTCAATACCATTCACATCTCTGAAAATAAAAAACTGAAAAAAAAAAAGTTAAAAATGCATTTTCATTAAATGATTTCCAATTTGTGGGATTTGTGTGTAGATCTAGTCAGCCATTCTTGAAACTGTCAAGGTATTTAACTGTGCAAAAATTAAGGGCTTTATCTCATCTTTAATTCTGTCTGTAATTTTGCATTATTTTCTCTTTCCTTTCTTTCTAACTTCTGGCTTAAAACTGGGGTGCTGTTTTAGAATTCAATCACACCATGGTAGTGTCATTTTAATATTGCTCTTTCATCTCCGTTAACTGACATCCAAAGCTTCTGACAAACAGAACTGCATGGGAGTGTGCAATGATTGAGATCTTAATCACTTGTCGGCTGTCGCATTGTGATGACTTGCATTTTCAACTAATCTGGCTTGAGTAATGAGTGAAATTTCTAGCTGAGTGGTGATTGGCATTCTCTGAATGAATCCTTTCCTCATATTTCATTTTCATGGGTGACTGATCACATCCAGTATATGAAAAACTGACATATGTTAATTGAACAGATTTGTGACAGGTGATTAGCTCTCCTTTCCTAACGAGTCCTAAAGCTGTTTAATTGTTTAAAAACGATAAGACTTTTTTTTTTTTTTTTTTTTTATGGTCAGCACCATTGGCCCTCAACTCTAAGATGTGAACTTCAGGAAATGGCTTCAAAGGTGCAAACTAAAGCTACACGAACCCTGTACTCTTTGATTCCTGATGTTTCTCTTTGTTTCACTGTCTTTTTGAGAGGAAGAGAAGGAAGAGGTGAAGGTCAACAACACAGTCGGGAAGAGAAGAGTATCTTTGATGACAAAGACTTCTTCCTTTTCTGAGTGTTCTTTTAAGGTGTTCTTTGAAACTTTCCAAACTACACACTGAAAGATGAAGGACATTAGATCTTTTGGGGGGGGGGAAAAAAAAAATCAAGGAACTCTACCAGGAGCTTGGCGATCAGCTCAGCCATATGTGCTGAAAGCTGAACTCCTCAGTCTACTGTACAAGAGCCATCCAGTTATGGTACTGAGAACCAAAAACACCGGGAACATGAGTTCTCATGGGAACTTGCTTTCCTGCCTTGGAACAGAGCATAGCACACCTCAACATCCCACAAAACCATGCTGTAGCCTAGGATCTCAGGGTTCTGGGCTTTGGATGCCAAAACCAGAACACCTATAGCTGCTTATTCCCATAGGACCAGGAGCCTGGTGACCTTGGAGTTAACCTGCAAGGCCAAGAGCCTCCAGAAGCCTGGCTTGATCTGGGACTGCAACAGCTGCAGGACAAAAACAGATTCCAGAGGGACAGCTGGCATGAGACTCTGGATCTTTGAAGCCTGAGCCACAGAGAGACTGAGCAGCAGAGGCTGCAGAAGAGCAACAGGACATGGGATCCTCCCTAACCTCAGCAGAGGGTCAGCACCACACAGGGCTCCTGGGAACATATTACATGGCAGGTTCATCACATATCTGAGTTACTGGGAATAGAATTTTTGAGAATTTTTAGTTTTCTAGGAATTGGAAAGCTTAGATATTACCTACAAAACAGAATGCCCAAGTTTGGGGCAGTTCTGCTCTCTCTTCTACGCCACGAAGCCCACCCTCCACCTTAGGCTAGGGGACAAGTAAAAATTTACCTATAATTTTTCCTGTGTGCAAACTAGAAGAGCTGCCAATCAGATGGTTGCTGATAGGAGCAGCCAACAAGAGATTTTTGGCTACCCAGATAAACTCTTATTGTTCTCATTCCTCTGTGCTGCCTGTCCAACCCTCCTGCTTTGCCCTTAGCTTCATGCCAGACCTATTTTCTCTTGGTTTGCCTCCTCCATTTCTCTCTTATAAAAGCTTTCTTTTCAAGATCCTTTTCCATTTAGCTTATCCTTTCTTAATTCTGGCCTGATTTTTTTTATATTACCATAACAACAAATACCTTTTTCTTCATCTCAGTATTAGCAGTTCCACAAGATCACATGAGGACTACACCCAGCCACAGCTGGCTTCTTACTCAGCTAGACTGCAGCTTCTTCCCATACAAACAGAAGTTCCTATTTAGTTGTTGTCAGATCAACAGAGAGAAAAGCAACAGCTGCAGGGACAAGTTTGGTGCAGTTTAAGGAACTTATGACACTGGGGTTGAATAGCTTCTTTCATTACAAATTGATGAGTGTGACAGCTAGTAAATAGTCTGGAAAATTTTCCATGTTTTTCAGAACACAGGCTTTGGAGAATCTGATAAATCTGTGCAATTCTCTGTTAGTTCCCTTGCTAAACAGTTGCCCTTTCACGGAGGAAGATTTCAGAATCAAACTTCAGCGATAACTGTGATGTGTCTAAGCCAAGGGCCAAAAGAGCAAAAAAGCAAATAGACATGCTTATCCATAACAATCCCTAAACACAAGCTCCACTAGAAAATACATGCCAGAAAGAATACAGTGATGACAGTTAATGGCAAGGACCTAAATAATTCATGCAATAGCATATAGATAATGCACAGGAAGAATAGAGGATTAATTAATTACATCATAAGGCTTGTAGCGAGAGATTCTTTCTTTTATCAGATACACATTTGCAAAAATATAGGCAAAGTTTTAAGACTGCATGCTGGACAAAATTTGATTCACTTACATTCAGAGATTAAAATAATAAGTTTTAGACTACAGAAAATGAGAAATTTTTTAATCTTGTAGTTGCGTATCTGTTAAAAACTCACCTAATTCAATATCCCTTATCCCCATATACGTTTCAAGAAGCTCATCCACTTTTTTAATGGCTTTTTCTTCAACTTCAGTTGGCTTTGTTGAAATAAAGGGAGGAAAAGAGCATAAGTATGATTCTATTCAGACTTCAAAATAACCAGCAACTCATCACTGATTATCCTTACTCCTATCCTAGCCACCTAGACTTACAAAAGCTACAAGTAAAACACATTATTCCCCTCTCTTTGTCTCTTCCCAGAAACCTGCGCCTTCCTCATAAAGTCAAGCCACACAGCTCCCGCATTCAAACTAAACAGGGGCCTTACCTCTCCTGACAACACAGATCTTCATCAAATCTTCATCAGCTTTAGAAGAACTCAGAATAAATAACATTTCTTCTTCCAAACCCTAATCCTGGTTTTACACATATTCATGTCAATGTACGTTATCAGCCTCTCCTGACAATAACCCTTACACCAGCCCAGTACACTCTGCAGTGTCAGAAACAGAACCAACTCTTCAACTGGCCTCCCCTCTCTACCTCCACCCTCGCTTCCCTCTTTTCAACAGTTCTTGGTCTAATCTACCTTAAATTCATCCATGTAATCCATGACATCTAAACATAGGCTCTCTGTTTCCAGATTCCTCTGCCCCATCCTATTGCTGCTAGTCTTCAGCTTCATATAAGTAGTTCTCCCTGCAGAGGCAGTCATCTTCTTAGGTCCTGGAACCTTTGTAACATCCAGATTCTTCCTTCCTACTTTACCTTATCCAACGGAGGAAAAATAAATCAGGTGCTATGCGATTAAACTATTGAAAGGCCCCAAGATAACCATACCATTTCCTCCACAGTAGCAGGGCCTTTGGTCCTCAGCCGAAGTGTTTCTCTCCCTCTGGAGATTTTAGCCTCTGGCAGAGTTCCACCTTTGGATCTTGGTTCCAGCTTTTCTAAAGAAAAAAAAAAAAAAGAATACATAACAAAACTAAGTATATGGTACACCAGAATATGATGTATCTATTTTCCCAATTACATTAACCTTCACTTTTTATTCTGTTCAAGACCTAAATTATATAAATACTGAATTATAAGTTAACTGCATTCTAAGTACAGCCTTGTTGACAATTTCTTGTCTTCCAACTTTGATATCCACTTGACCGTACTGAAGCTAGAACTTCCATTAACCTATACATCTAACCTATGCAGGCCTACTACACTCAACTTCATATATGCACTATAATATGCACATATATGAACTATGTACAAGTTTATTTTACCTTACAGAAAAGTAGAAGTATTTATTACTTAATATGGGCAAATGGCTGAAGACATCAGACAAATGCTGATTTATCCTGGTCTTTCCAGGCGGACTATATAGCAGGTTTAGCATTGCAACATTCCCATCTTTCTCGGATGCAATGGTGCGAACACCACTGCTAAACAGGTCATGGTGAACCACAGTGAGCTGAGCTAACCATTTGGTTACCAGCAGTCACATAGGTGAAATGTCCACAAGTAGATCTGCAGGAGTTTTTCCACTGGTTTCACCAAGGTCGTGATTTCACACCTGATAAATCTCTATCAAGAATATCTGCATTTACCTAAAGTTTTCTTTCCCTGAATTCAGTTTTCCTTCTTTAATCTTGGGTAAGGGCATCCCAGTTAGTAAATGGAGCATAGAATCATTTAAGATTTGGCTTTCTTGTTACTTCTAGGACATAATTTTACATTCAAGAGTGGCAAGGCTTTAATTTGCTTACTGACATGGGAGTTACACTGTTGATCTGGAAAGTGCTAGAAGAGATGAGATAATTTTGCAGATGTGTTTCGAACTATGCTGTTTTCTTTACCACATTATTCCTACTCTTAACAGCCAGCCTTTCTAATAGGCTCTCCTTGAGAGCAAGGCTTTAACATGCTATATATATATTTTGCCCAGGTAGATTACAACTCATTATTCTTGCATAAGTAGTCACAAAATCCCGATTATTCTGCTGAACAAGTCTTGAAAAGTAAATTTTAATTGTTTTCACTGTAACAAATAGCTATGGCACAGTTGATTACATATATACTTAGGATCAACACATCTTTTACATTTTTATTGCTTCAAGGACGTTTTAAAATATCGAGATTGTAATTTCTGCTAGACCTGTTTCAAACAGTCATTCCTGATACAACATACATCTTTTTCTAGTTCTGTCACCATCAGCATCTTAAAACTCGTGACTTGACATAACCTTTATTTGCAATACTTCAGACCAAAGCTCTCCGGCCGTCACAGAAACTATTTTTCTTATTCACATAATTTAAATGTAGAGTTTGTGTTATGCTGGCTTTATTTTGTTTCTATTAATTTTTCATCAATTTGAAGAGAGCTAGCTTGTGACTGGTAAGGAGTAATCTTATTCAGACAAGACTTTAATTCTGTGCTACATCTCTTGCCTGGAGTAGATGAGGCAGCCTGTGTGCACAGAGTAGAAAGATATACGACCAGTAAATTACATTTATTTCACATTCTGCTGAGAGGAGAAAAAAATAAAAGTAATTTCACACAAAGACTTCTCTCTTATTTCTATACCCTCACAAACTTGTGTTGAAGCCAGC